GTTTCTTATTCCCCAAAAGAGACTAATACTGTCTGTAGTACTAGTTTCACAATTAAAGATCTGGATTAATTTTACATAATCCTATACTGGACCCACTTTACTTTTTAAAATTTTACTTAAATCCAAGCTAGTTAACACATAGCATAGTAATGGTTTCAGAAGTAGAATTTAGTGATTCATCATTTACATGTGACACCCAGTGCTCATCCGAATAAGTGCCCTTGTTAATGCCCATCCCCCATCCAACAGCCCTCCTGCACCCCTCAGTTTGCTCTCTGTATTTAAGAGTCTCTATGGTTTGTTTCCCTGTTTTTTTCCTTTTTGTATGTTCATCTATTTTGTTTCTTAAATTCCACATGAGTGAAATCAGATATTTTTCTTTCCCTGACTTCACTTACCATTATACACTTAGTTCCATCCATGTTATTGCAAATGGCAAGACTTCATTCTTTTGATCAGTAATATTCCACAGTGTGTGTGTGTGTGTGTGTGTGTGTCACATTTTCTTTATCCATTCATCAGTCGATGGACATTTAGGCTCTTGCTATAGTTTGGCTATTGCTGATAGTGCTGTGTAAACATTGGAGTGGATGTGCCCCTTCGAATCAGCATTCTTGTATCCTTTGGACAAATTCCTAGTAGTGCAATTGCTGGGTCTAGCAATAGCTATATTTTTGATGGACCTACTGTAACATTATTAACATTCAAGTATTTACTGACCTCTACTTGCCTGAGATTGAAGTAGGTGCTGTTTCTAATTATTAGGGCCGTGTGTGATCTGTCACACCTGGTGTTCAGTTTCCCTCAAAATATGTAGCTCAGTCAGATAAGTACCACATTGCTGAAACCATATAACCAAACAAATTATTCCATGGCAAAGGACATGTAAATATTGTGATAAAGGTGTGTCTGAGAAGGTGTATTTGATATGCCTTTTCTTTTGGTAGAATTCTTTTGTTGGGGCAACTAGAAATGTAAAAGCCTGAAAACTGTGAATGAAGGGGACTCTTTTTCTGAACTTGAGCTCTCTTGCTATATAGTAAATGCTCCAGAAAACCAGTAGGTGAGGATCCTTCTCTGCAGGGCCCTAAACAGCCAGATTCCAGGAGAGGAATTAAGTGATCTTGAGGCCGAATACTGGGAGGCTGCTAGCCCAGAGCAGTCAACCAATAGTGTAACTGTTGGGCTCATCAATGATACAGCTACTGCCGGGACACGGCAAATTGAGCCCTTCGGGGGTTGGCCAGAGAGGCTCGCCTAGGCTACTCGTCTGCTGGTGGACCCGTAGCCGGCCAGGCACCCAAGCAATGCTTACTCATTAAACATACAGGATTCTCAAGGATGGCTTTTGCTTTGTTTTTTCAGATAAAGGGAATTGGAGGGAAGCCTGTGGTCCTGGGCTTTCAACCCCTGGAGGGTGATTCTGCTTGCTGGATTAAAAAGAGGTTCAGTTACTGCACATCTGCACAGAGAACCAACACATTTGTCTGCTGCCACGAACCTTGGTCAACTGTTTAGATACTGCAGTCCATCCTCCGTGGGAAGCTTCTCTGACCTCAGCAGTAGCTTTCAGATAACCTGGATTTGGGTTTCACTGAGGACTTTAGCTGCCCTGCCTCGGCCATTTTCCTGTGCTTCCCTTTTTACTGTGAGACTCGGATGATGCCTTTTTTAAAACCAAGCAGTGATAGGAAGCCTTCCAGGAAGTGAGACCGACTGTGAGGCTAATTCGAAGTCAGAAGCCCATTCCGCCCCCACGGGTGTGCCTAGATTCCTCTAGAAATGCAGTCAGTGAACCCATAAAGCATTCATACATGTGTGAAATGGAAGACATAAAATTTGGAAGAATTGGCAGTTTGAAGGAGAGTGCTTACGCGGGTTTGGGTGTGGGTCGAATGACTGATGTTACCCAGGCCTTTGCCTTTGGTGACATTCCGTGTTTCCCTGATTCAGCCAGAAAGCATCACATTTCCGAAAAGCAAATCCAGTAACCTTATGTGTAATTCTCACTGTCATGACAGAGCTGGGTTGTATGTTTTAAACCTTAGAGCAACTGGTGTCTACCCCCAGCCTAAGGGTCTGGTCTTCGAGATGCAGTGTTTCTATTCCTCATGTCCTGCGGCCACTACTTTGTTCTCTCTTCTTGCCCTCGGGTCCATGGTTTTTGCTGCCTGTGGAGCACTGCAGAATCAGGCCCTTGATTTCCTCTGGGATGGCTTCCTGGTCATTTAATACGCACTGTCGCCTGTTCTTTCACTTCTCAAGAGGGTTTCGGGAAGTCCATGTTTACAGCTCTGTAACATCTCCTTTGGGGCTTTTCATACGTGTTTCACCTTTCATCATTTGGGGGTCCAAATGATGGGGGTGGGTACAAAAATTGGGGGCTTCCACAGGTTTGAGAACCGTTGTACTCATGAACCTTTAATTTCATAGGCCAGAAAACAGAGCAGTCAAAAATTAAGCATCTTTCCTCTGTCACAAAGCTAGTAGGTAAGGGAGCTGAACGGGGGAATCCCAGACTCCCTCATTTCCAAAGCTGTGGTCATTCCACAACATCTGGTGTCCCCACTGTGTATCGCTGAGTGCTCGAGTTCCGTTACCTCTGCGTGAAATTCACAGTTGTCTTCGTGCCTTGTGTGTTCTCCACCGAGACCTGCTGTACGGCGCGATTCACATTGGCAAAGGACTCTCACCGTCAGCAAGCACTGGGGCTGCAAAGATGAGCAAAGTCCTTGGAAGGAAGGGGCTCACAGACTCTTTGGGACGATGGCCCTTCAGAGTGACTTTTTAAAATTTCTACAGATCTTCACAAAGGAGGGGTTGCCAAGCTTTTTGGGTAAAAAGCCTCCAGCCCTGCTAGTCTCCCACTCCGTCTCCATAGCTTGGGCCACCTGCATTTCCCTCCTCCCCGAATGCACATCTGATAGAAAGATCTGATAGGCATCTGGGACAGACTGACTATACTTTGATGTGGAGGAGTTTGAAAGAACTAATCTCGCCACCGGTATTTACAGTTGTAGCCCTTTATTTCTTAATCATGGAATGAAAATGTGAACTACCCTCCAATTAAAGCCATCAAACTATCAGGAACATCCAGAATTGAAATTTAACTTCTCACAGGTAAACCTCAGTAGGCAAAGGGGTGCTGATAGAGGCCAGCTTAGCAATGAATCACAAGTGAGGGAGAGGGCTGTCCGCTGTTACATTTCCCCTTTTGTCAGGATGTGGTCTGTCCTTCTCAAACCTCTGTTCTGTCTGGAGAGACACAGGCCACCCACCATATATGGCTATTGGACACTTAAAATGTGGCCAGTCCAAATTGAGATGTGCTATAAATGTATAATACAGAATTTTGAAGACAGTATTAAATATCTCTTTTACACTGATTACACAAGATATTTGGGATCTACTGGGCTAATACTAAGTTCACCTGTTTCCACTTTTTAAATGTGGCTACTGGAACATTTAAAATGACCTATTTGGCTTTCATTATTATTATTTTTTTGAGACCATGCCCCTTCTAACGCCCAGTATTTAGATCTGCTGCCAAGTTCCCCTGTGTAGGTGCTCCTGCATGGCTTGTCCGGCTCCAGTGTGGCTCCTTTTTAACGTAAAACGGGCAAAAAGGCTGCTCAGTAAATGTTATTGGAAGGAATTAAGTGAAAATGGGTCCTCTTTTCCCCCACTTATGTGAAGTTTACAACATTTCCTGACCACAGGTCACTTTTCACTGGAAGCTGTCAAGTCTGAGAGAGTTGGAAACCAACGGAGAACGGACGTGAAATGTTTTTAAAAAGTTTTTAAAAAGGAAAAGCGTTAAAAAAAAGTTATTAGTCTATAGACTGACATTTACAAGGCTAATGGAAGTGGGGGCGGGGAAAAGAGGAAACAGGTTGATCTTCCCCGAGGTCAGTGTGACACTACACATCAAAAGCCTTAAATTGCCTATTCCCTAGAGTCTAGAAATTTACCTTCTTGCAGTTTACTTCAAGGAAGTGATTGGGCAAAAGCACAGATATCTAACTGCATGATTAAAAGTTCACGTTCACAATAGCAGGTGAACTACATTAGAACGTTAAGTAGTGGCTAAAAACAGATGTTCAAGAAGAGAATTAGAACAGCTGGTTATGTTACAGTACATAGGGACTGAACTAAAAAGAACGTAAGTTTTTAGGCAAGCGGAAGGGCGCTGGAAGAGCGTGACACCAGGATGTGAACAGTGATGACCTCTGGGCGGTAGGACAGGTGTTGTTCTGCAAGCTCCTTACCGGCGTTTTCTTATTTTGCAATGAGCACACGTGGCGCAAGGACACTTTATTGATGACTTATCAAACCTATAGGTTCTGCACTAATAGCCAACACTTACTGAGTGCTCACCATGCGTAGGCATTATGCCATTTTGCTTCCTGGCATCCGAGTTTTAAAAATCAGGCACCTTCTAGACTTCATCGGGGACGCTGGCCAGAAAAGCCCGCCTGTTACCTCCCAGCTGCAGTAATTGCACAGACAGATAAACAGCAATTGCCATGACAAACAGAAGCGATGCCAAAGTCAACAGGTTCGCATGGGTCTGAGCAGTGAATCCTGCGGAGTCGGCAGCGGATGGTACGGTGCTCCCTGCCACACCGATCAGAGGCTGGGAGACCCCCCGCAGAAATTAGCCCTTTTTGTGAAATTAGCCCTTTTTGTTTATTTGCCGATCTTGGCCAACGCCGCGTTAAAAAACGCGAGAAGCGATGGGGGCCCAGTTCCCAGCAGCGCCTGATGCACCTCCCGCGGCCCGCGCCGCGCTCGCCGCCGCCTCCGCTCGGTGAGAACGACAGGAGCCCCACGTGGCTCCCACCGGGGCGCCCCTCCCGCGGGCCTGCAGCGCCCCCTGGGCCGAGCGGAGCCCGCGGGCCCGCCGGCAGCCAGGGCGCGCGTCCCGCCGTGCGCTCCCCGCCGCTCCCGTCCCGGCGACGCAGAGCCCAAGCGGTCTCCGCGCCCGGGGCCCTGCGGGCGGGGTGGGGGAAGCCGCTTGCTTGTCCGCGCTGCCGGGGTGGGGACGCTCGGCCCCCGGCCGTCCCTCCCAGCCGCACGGAGCCCGCGCGGACGCGGCGGCGGAGCGGCGTTGCGGGCTTTGTTCGGCTTTGTTTGTTTGAGTCGCACCTGAGCGCGGCCGCGAGGCCCGCGCGCTCCCCGGGGAAGCCGGAGTCACCTGCGCGCCTGCGGGAGCGCACCTGGCGCACGCTTCCGCCCGGCGCCCCGCACACCGCCCCGGCCCCGGGAGACCCGGCCCGCGTACGGGGCCGCGGAGCGTGGCGGGCCCGGGAGTGGCCTCTCGTTTGGAACTCGGGCACGGGGTCGCAGAGCCACGGGGGCGGACCACAGGTAAGGGGACAGGGCCTAGGTGGCAGTGGGTGGAGGAGGGAACCATGTATTAAGCTCGACCTTCTTCGTTGGCACCGTCACAGCCTCTTGATTTGGAGGCTGCGGAAGGGGAGTCGCCTTTTAAATAAATGTTCAGAGGACATGCCCAACCCCCCCCCCGCGCCCCTCTTTTTCACGGCCTATGCTGTGTTAAGGGGACTCCAGTGAAACTTTCCCAGCAGCGGAGTGCCCCCAGCGAAGACTCTGCCCTTGGGCCATGGGGATTAGTCCTCGTGGTGATTTCTCATACTGGGGACCCCCCCCCCTTCCTGCATTCCTCCTTCCTGGGGGCTGCGTCCTTGGCCACCTGCTGGGAGAGTAAGTGGGAGGGTCTCAGAATTACACCTTTGAAACTTGCCAGGTGGCATCAGTTGAAGAACCTGGTGGGCACCCGGGCAGAAAGTAAGGGAGGAGGGCACCTTCCCGCCCCCTCTGGAATCTGTGGCTCTCCAGCCAAGAGGGGCCATTCAGTGGGGGCACCTGCTGTGTGTCTGGTGTCTTGGACCTGAATAATCAGAACCTGCACAGTTTGTAGATTATGAGGTTTTTTAAACAAACAAAACCCCCAGAACCTTTAAATGTTTTATAATTTCAGGTGTAAAAATTCAAGGTCTGTTTGGCTTCCATTGTGACCTTATATTAAGAAATGGGCATTTGTTGAGAAAAGAGTAGGAAAAGACTTTTTTTTTTCCCTCAGTGCTCGTCACCATAAATATATTTTTAATATAGTTGATACAGTGTTACATTAGTTTCAGGTGTACAACATAGTGATTTGGCAAGTTTATACACTATGCTATGTTCACAAGTATAGCTACCATCTGTCCAGCTACATCACTATTACAATATCACTGTATTCCTTATGGTGTGCCTTTTATTCCTGTGACTTAGTCATTCCTAACTGGAAGCCTGTCCCTCCCTTCCCCATGACCCATTTCGCCCAGCCTCCCACCCCCCACCGGCAACCATCAGTTTGTTCTCTGTAAAAAAAGCCTGCTACCTTTGATGTTGCCTTTAAAGCGCTGCCTAATTTATCTCCTTCCTACCATCCCAATCTCCTCATCTATCTCTCGGCTTGGCTCGCTGTGACCCAGCCCCATTAGCCTCTGTCAGTTCCTTGAGAGTGCCAAGTTCTTTGCTTATTCAAGGTCTGCTCAGTGTATAATGCTCTTTTCCAAGCTCTGCCTTCTAGTCTAAATTTATTTTTTTAAATAGTTTATTGTCAAGTTGGTTTCCATGTAATACCCAGTGCTCATCCCCACGAGTGCCCTCCTCCATGCCCATCACCCTCCTTCCCCCCATACCCATCATTCCTCAGTTCTCAGCATTCAAGAGTTTCTCATGGTTTGCCTCCCTCCCTTTCCCCCTCTATTTCCCCCCTTCTTCTCCCCCATGGTCCTCCGTTAAGTTCCTCCTAATCCTCCTATACGTGCAAACATATGACATTTGTCCTTCTCTGCGTGACTTATTTCGCTCAGCATAACACCCTCAAGGACCATCCATGTTGCTACACATGGCCAGATTTCATTGTTTCTCATTGCCATGTAGTATTCCATGGTATAGATAAACCACATCTTGATCCGTTTATCAATTGATGGACACTTAGGCTCTTTCCATGTTTTGGCTATTGTGGAGAGTGCTGCTACGAACATTGGGGTACATGTGCTCCTATGCATCAGCACTCCTGTATCCCTTGGGTAAATTCCTAGCAGTGCTATTGCTGGGTCGTAGGGGAGTTCTAGTGTTAATTTCTTGAGGAACCTCCACACTGTTTTCCAGAGGGGCTGTACCAGTTTACATTCCCACCAACAGTGTAGGAGGGTGCCCGTTTCTCCACATCCTCGCCAGCATCTAGAGTTCTCTGATTTGCTCATTTTAGGCACTCTGACTGGCGTGAGGTGGTATCTCAGTGTGGTTTTGATTTGTATTTCCCTGATGAGGAGGGACACTGAGCATCGTTTCATGTGCCTGTTGGCCATCTGGATGTCCTCTTTGGAGAAGTGTCTGTTCATGTCTTCTGCCCATTTCTTCACTGGATTGTTTGCTTTTTGGGTGTGGAGTTTGGTGAGTTCCTTACAGATTTTGGATACTAGCCCTTTATCTGATATGTCATTTGCAACTATCTTTTCCCATTCTGTCGGTTGCCTAGTAATTTTATGGATTGTTTCCTTTGCTGTGCAGAAGCTTTTAATCTTGATGCGGTCCCAAGAGTTCATTTTTGCTCTTGATTCCCTTGCCTTTGGGGATGTGTCAAGTAAGAAATGGCTGCGGTTGAGGTCTAGGAGGTTGTTTCGACTTTCTCCTCTAGGGCTTTGATGGTTTTCTGTCTCACATTCAGGTCCTTTATCCATTTTGAGTTTATTTTTGTGCATGGTGTGAGAAAGTGATCTAGTTTCATTCTTCTGCATGTTGCTGTCCAGGTCTCCCAACACCACCTGTGAAAGAGGCTGTCTTTTTACCATTGGATACTCTTTCCTGCTTTGTCAAAGATTAGTTGGCTGTACATTTTTGGGTCCAATTCTGAGTTCTCTATTCCATTCCATTGGTCTATGTGTCTGTTTTTGTGCCAATATCATACTGTCTTGATGATGACAGCTTTGTAGCAGAGGCTAAAGTCTGGGATGGTGATGCCTCCTGTTTTGGTTTTCTTCTTCAATATTACTTTGGCTATTCAGGGTCAGAAAAGACTCCCTTCTTTTTCTTCAGAAAAGTCAACAGAGGTACCACTGCAGTTGGCAAAGGTGGGGGGTAGTTAATTTGTAGATGCGGCTGACTGTCACCAAGGATACCGCCCTTGCTCTTCTTTTTTATTTTTAAAAAAAATTTTTAAAAATGTTTTATTTCTGAGAGAGAGCGAGCGAGCGAGTGAGCATGAGCAGGGGAGGGTCAGAGAGAGAAGGAGATACAGAATCTGAAACAGGCTCCAGACTGTGAGCTAGCTGTCAGCACAGAGACCGACACGGGGCTCGAACCCACGAACCGTGAGATCATGACCTGAGCTGAAGTCAGAGGCTTAATCGACTGAGCCACCCAGGCACCCCAGCTTCTTTTTTAGAAATTCAACCCATAACTGTCTCCCAATGGTGTAAGAATTTTCCAGACTAGGTCCCCTGACAAATCCTGGGGAAGAAAGAGGGGGATTCTTTCCTTGATCACACCCATCTGATCAACTGAAAACCATCGGTGACCTTTTTTGGCCTTTAAATCTAGACTTTGGTCTATTCTCCTGAGCTTGGGATAGCTGTTTCCTTCCCTCAGTTGGCTCTGGTTCCCTGAAAGGAGTCACAGATGTCCAGGTTTCTACAGATAAGAAAACTGAGACCTTGAGAGGGTGAAAGAAGACCCAAGAGCGAATGGGAGAGCCCCCCAGGAACCCGGACTGCTAGGCTTTTAATGAGCTGCATAAATGGTACAGTCATTAATTGGCAGGTGCTGACATCAGGGATAAACTGGTGAAATTACAAAAGCCTTTTGTTACAGATGTCTCATCTTGTGTGTCCCTTACAGACTATTTTCATTGTATCCCCAACACCTGACAGGATGCTGGGCACGGGGTCATTCATTCAGATGCTTGAATGAATGAAATTTCATATATCACTGGAAGGGTCAGCATCCTTGTGAGGTGTTTTAGAACAGTGGATTTCTGTACTTTTTTGTACAGATTTCTGTAATTTTGCCTTTCACAGATCAGTTTTTAAAAAGTTTTCATCGGGAGGAATGTAACAAAATTATCAACTTTTAAACTTATCCTACAAGGGTATTGTTTTTTTTTTTTTTTTTTTTTTTTTGCAAATGAAACAAAACCCTGCCATCATCCACAAGGCTAATGCTTCAGCATCACCCCAGGCCAGCTCCCGGGGTGAGCGGAATGCACTTGAAGTCCCTTCCTTGGAGTTTACCCTTTCGTCTTGTAAACAGCTCCAGATGGCTTCCTCTCCCACCCACGGAATTACCTGCCAGCCTGCCCTCAATATGATTATTGTCCCAGGCCCCTTCTCTTCACCTGGGTTTCCCTGCTCTCCCTTTAGGAACCATTGCCTTCACCCAGGAAGGCATTGTGATCTCCTGTCATCCTGGCGTCAACCTTTTTAGGTAAACAGGATGGGTGATGGCACCTCCGTTTTTGAGGGAAGGAAATTGAAAGACTGGAGTGAAGGAATTTGCTGAGAGACTCAGGCTTCCTGACATCTGATTGTGTTCTCTTTCTGTGTACTGCACGCGTTTTGTCACGGCCAAGCTGTGCACATCAGGACCTGGATTTGACTCCATACTTGTGCTTCACCAGCTCTTTGACCTTGGGTCCCAACTTCTACAAGACCGTTTTCATGTAGACAATGTAGAAAAATGGAAAGGATCATGTTTACCCTATGGGATTATGGATGTTATATGAAATTAACCTATAAATGTAATAAATCTTGAAAATTGTACAGTTAGAAAGTGTTTTACCAGTAGGGACATTCACACACGATTTCACTAGATCTTTATAATGCTGCCCGAGTTCCTGAAACTAAGATGCACCCCAGTTTGACAGATGAATGATCCTGAGTCAGGGAACATTACCGTTTGCAGAGTCAAACGTTAGAAGCAGAACCAGTCTGGAATTCTGTCTCTGGATTTCTGGTCCTGTGTGCCTTCTCTTATATTTCTGCTTCCCAGAGCCCAATGAACTTGGGTCCTGTACAAATTAAACGAAGGGTTTTCAAATAACCACCAAAACAAACACCAACATCTCTCTCTAAAAGCTAAAAGTGTCTCTTCACAGGTGCGGCGCAAGTGGGAGCCTTGAGATCCAGGCCCATCTGAGCAGGGAATCTGTCACGGTGCATCGTTCATCCCTTGGTGCTGACTTTGGGTTCTCAGAGTGTTGGGTTCTAACGATTTGCGATTCTTTTGGAGGGAGCATGATTCCACCCCTCCCCCCCCCCCCCCAAGCTTTCTCTGCTCTATCAAACTAGAAGCATGTGGCCCACTTCCCTGGACCTCCTGAGCTTGACCAAGTGTTTTAGCAAAAGGACAAGGGAAGGTGACTGTCGCAGTGAAAGACAGCAAGGGCTTCCTGGCTCCATGCTTTTACCTCCAGTTTTAAAGTCTTCCTGTTCAGGTGTTGCGTGTTCTTGTAAAGGGCTCAGATTTCCATCCCGCTGACTGAGCGGAGGCTGCCAAGGGCTAATCTGATGTTTGGGGTTGGAATTGCATTTTGTAAGGAGGTAGAAGTCATTTGCTTTTTCACCCCTGAACTCCTTTCATTTCCGGCCCTAAAGGAGAAGGTAGGCATTGTCCTGCAAAACTGCCTGCAGCCATTGCCGGCCTGGCCCCTCATTTCCAAAAGTAGTCTTGTTTCGGCCTTAGTTTCTTCTGGTGTCTTGGGAAATGCAATCCCTGGTTGGTGCAGAGTTTTGCGGAGCCCTGCAGCAAACTTCCCTTACCCGCTGTCCTCGGTGGAAGCGGGATTTGAACACAGCAGTCACATGAGAAGATGGGGGGTGGTGGCGGTGGTGAAGAGTCTTAAGAGTGAGAGTCCCAGGAGCCAGGAATTAGCATAGGTAATGGATCAGAAAAGAACAAATGATGAGTGAGGCGTTTTGCAATGGAAAAGGCTTGACAAGGCACACCTGCAACGAATGATCTGTCTCTGCCCCTGAGATGCAGACCACTCCTGACTACTTTGCACAAGAATGCAGAGAGTTCTGGAAATCTTCTCATGATAGATAGATACTGCTGAGGATGGGAGTTGCTGGCAGGTATTAGCTTGTGGAAGACTGCCAGAGGGCAGGATTCAGGCAGCAGATTTTTAATTACACCTCCGTTCCCCTACCTTAGTTCCCCAGGATCAGGAAGGGGATGGGTTGAATAGATCACTGGCAGGCCAGAAGGGAGTCTGATCCACTTATTAGCTGTGTACCCTGGGGCCAAACAATTTCTCTGTGCCTCAGTATTGTCATCTGTGGAATGGAGATACTCTCGGTGGCTGGCTGTGAGAATGAGAAGAGAGAAGATTAAGCATGCTCACTGGATGGTAGTAGCTGCTGGATTTTTACTATGCGATGCATCTTTTTAAAAAAATTTTTTTGAGGGGCACCTGGGTGGCTCAGTCGGTTAAGCGTCCGACTTCGGCTCAGGTCATGATCTCAAGGTTTGTGGGTTCGAGCCCTGCATCGGGCTCTATGCTGACAGCTCAGCTCAGAGTCTGGAGCTTGCTTCAGATTCTGTGTCTCCTTCTTGCTATGACCCTCCCCTGCCCACACTGTTTCTCTCTCTCTCAGAAATAAATAAACCATTAAAAAAGAATTAAGAAAATTTTTTTTTGATGTTGGGCTATATTTAGAATTCGAATTAGTACCACAAGCAAGTTGTGATGGGGGGAGGGGAGGTGTGGTAAACCGAACGTTTAACAGGTGGGAAGAGACAGCAGAGTGCTGTTAATACCGCACCGGCACCGAAGCCGCATTCATTTCGTTTATCTTGGCATAAGAAGGAATGCAGTGAGTGTAGTGAGCGCAGAGCATAAGAAGGAATGCAGTGAGTGTAGTGAGCGCAGAGATTCGTCTGGAAGTAGGCATGATGGTGCTCAGTTTTCCCAGCAGGCACGCATCTCCCCTCCTGTGGGCCAGACCAGCGCAGGCGGCTGGGGCTGCCGCAGAGACGGAGCAGGTGAGAAAACACCCCAGCAGGCAGTTGGAGTGTGGGCTGTGCTGCGGGCGCAGGGGAGGGGGGTTGCCGCCGAGGTCCCAGAGCCAGCACCCGGGTGGTCCAGACACCTGTCGGGAGGCATCTGACTTCTCGCATGGATTTGCAGATTGCCAACGTATATTTTGTCCTAATGAGAGGAAACTTAGGAGATTCCAAAAAGCATTGGCCTGGGCATGCCAGGGCACGGAAGAGAGCGGGATGAAATGGCTTGGGTTTGTCTCCTGGCAGAGGGAGGGGCCCCGTGTTTCCTGAGTGCCTTCCTAGGCGGCGGGAACCTTTTCTCGTCCCCACGGCAGCCTGGGGAGGCTGCTGGAATCCTGGTTTGATGGAAAACTCAAACCGTTGGGCCCTGCACGTGCCCAGGGTCAGAGGCTGTGACCTGGGAAAATCAGCCTGAGCCCAACTAAGACAGAGCCAGCACTGCCCCGCCCCCGTCCCTCTGCCCCGCCCTGGCCTGGCTCCCAGGTGGCAGGCGGGGACTTGCCCTTCATGTGTTGTGTGGAGTGAGAGGAAAGGAAGGCATGTGCCAGGCTGGAAGCCAGCGGGGATCGTGTGGGCTGCACTGGCCTGCATCCTCTCTGTCCGTCTTCCCCTCCTCCGTGAGTCTGGGAAGCTTCTGACTCTCTCGCTCTTGTAAGATTCGCTTCTCCACTGGCCACTCAGATCAGGTGCAGATGGGAGCCTCACAGTCATTTGACGTGCAAAGACCATCGGCTGGTTGGGACATTTGATTCACTTTGTTTCAGACGGGTGTGAACTCCAAGGAGCTGAATGTTCAGTGGAGTAAGGTCTGACCATCACGGGTCCGTGATGGAGAGATTGAAAACCAGAAGGCACCTTAGCGGCATCTGGTCCAGACTCCTTGTTTTGTAGATGAGGGACCACGGCATCGGATGAGAAGTCGGGTTCTCAGACTCCGGCCGCGGGCTGTGTGCCACCCGGGGGCAGGCGTGGTCCCTACCTGCCCTTGTCCTCTGCTGCTCTGCTGTCTCAGCTTGGATGGAGTCCTGAGCCGTGGCTCAAAGGCCCTGAGCTCCCCTCCGCTCCAGAAGCAGTATGGTTAGAAGCAAGCACCCTAGATTAGGGGCTGAGACCTGAGCTGTGGGACTGTCTGGGACCCCCCTCCCCGCTTCCGAGCCTCTGTGACCCCTTCCTTCATCTCTCAGGTGTGTCCGGCTCATTCACGGTGAGTTGCCCCTTTCACACATTGCGTCCCTCTCATTCCCTGGAGTCTGCTCCCCAAGAGTAGGAACACAGACCTGAGCGGTAGGTGCTGCCCCCTGACGCAGTCCCCACGGTTGATTCAGGTTTCCTACGGTTCCAAGTAAGGGCTGGCAATGGCACCTATAGGAACCTGAGTTGGGTCATTTTAAACTTTCTGGCAAAAAAAAAAAAAAAAGTCTATTTCTTGGATAATTCAGTTTTCAAGGCAGCCCTTGCTCTCAACCTGCTCAGACTCCTCTGAATGTCAAGTTCTGTTTTGTTGCTGCGGCTGGGAGATGTATTGTTTTTTTAATGTTTATTTTTGAGAGGGTTTAACTGGGGGAGGGGCGGAGAGTGAGGGAGACACAGAATCCGAAGCAGGCTCCAACCTCTGAGCTGTCAGCACAGAGCCTGATGCAGGGCTCAAACTCACAAACCAGAAGATCATGACGTGAGCTGAAGTCCGGCGCTTAACCGACTGAGCCACCCAGGCGCCCCTCATCCCTTTCAGTTCTTATACTGCATGTCCACGTGCTAAAGTGTAAGACTGTTTAGATTTTACATCCTATCTTTGTGGTTGAAAAGGATATTGATCATTTCTTGGGCCTCACAGCTAAAATTAGAAGTATACCTCATGTATGTGCTTTTATAGCATCTAAGTTATAGTCTATAGTTCTTATTAAAAGCTCTCACTTCCGACCCTTACCTCCCTTAAAAATCGTTATCAAGCCCCGTGGAACTGAATGTTACCTATACTATCAGCATTACTAGGCAATTTTTTAAAAACCTTTTGGTGACTTCCTCAGCCATGTTACTTTTTAATAAATAATTTAGAGGGTGTAGACGTTGTGATCTTGCTAGAAGGTTTCAGAAAATTAGGACACTGGCAGTCATACCTTCAGTCTCCTTGATTCTAACTCATCCTAAGAGATGGAGGCAATGAGACGGAGGGGGCTTTACTCGAGGTCACGTGGCTGGTCAGGGGCCACGCCAAGCTAGGACCCGGGACAATAGTACCCCTTGCGGGAGTCTGTGAAGGAGCTGGGGGGTTGGGTGGCGGGTGTCTGGGGAAGATGTCAGCCTTTGAAAGCATTGGCGTGGTCTCCCAGGACTTTGAGGGAGTTTGGATCTTTTCCTGGATTATACAGTTACTGTGGGAAGGAGGAGACTCCAAGGTCACATTTGTACCCCGGAAGAGACTGAGTAGTTGTGTTACTGATGACTTGGGGATGCACAGAGCTAATTGCTGATACTTTTTTCTTATCCTGCCCATAGTCACATCAACATGCCTTCCGTCCTGTTGCTGGAGGTCATCGTCATGTTCCTGCTTTCTGGAGGTAAGCCTTGTCGGGCAGGGGTGAGGTGTTGAGGGGTGTGATTTGCTTCACATCCTGTCAGTTTTAACTTTTGGAGGTCTCTCGAAGGCATCGGGGTCTCTCCACTCCGTGGCCCCCTGCCTTGCAGAAGCCCTGTCATCTGGTGCTTGGACCACTCTTCCAACCAAAGCAGCCCCGCCTCTGGGTGGTCACCCTGGGTGCTCCTGGTTCTGCTGCAGCCCCTTGGCCACAGAGCAGTCGTTTCAAAATGCAACTCTGACTGCCTGGGCCCCTCTCCACCCCACTCCGCCTTCTCTCTGCCTAAAATAAAAACCAAAAACAAACACTTTTTAAAAAATGTCTATTTACGGGGCGCCTGGGTGGCTTAGTCGGTTAAGCGTCCGACTTTCGCTTAGGTCATGATCTCGCGGTTCGTGGGTTCGAGCCCCGCGTCGGGCTCTGTGCTGACTGCCAGCTCGGAGCCTGGAGCCTGTTTCAGTCTGTGACTCCCTCTCTCTCTGGCCCTCCCCTGCTCACGCTGTCTCTCTCTCTCTCCTAGAAATAAATAA